TATAAAATTTATAGTACAACAATAATAAAACCGCCTAATCTCTTTACGCTTGTCACTCGTTATGTCTAGTGGCACCACTACACGAGTGTAACCATGTCACAGACACAGAATCTCTGTGTGAGAATTGCTACATCAATATGGCGGAAAGCAGTCCCCCCCGCACGCTTGAATTACCATCCCCTCTCGCCTAAACTAGGACTTTAGCTATCAGTCCCTCTATTCCTTAGTCCGTGTTCGCGTCGCATTGAAGCATGCCCTAAGGAGCAATTAGGAGCATGCTTTATTTGCCTCACCTTCGAAGGTGGTGCAGTTGAGACAATTGTGCGCGCATGCGTAATAATTGAGAATGGATGTGTTAAAATTTGTAAGTTATGAGGTTAGATTAATAAAAAATTTAATCTTAGATCAGTAATATAATAATTATTTATAATAAAATTTTTAGAAAGAGATATTATATTGAAAAAGCTTTTCTATTTGTACTTACTGTTGCAATATGTTGACAAATAAGACAGCATTAACAATAAATGGTAAGTGTGTTAATTTCTCACATTGAACATAGTAATCTTTTATTATATTTGCTATTAATTTGTTATTAATTAAGTATTAATACTTTTCATATAATTTGAAGAAGTAAAATTGTGTGGTGTGGGTGGTGTATGTGTGTCAATAATTATTTAATGTACATATTTAGTATATTATTATAAATTATTGTAAATTGCAAAATATGAGAGAGAAGTTGTTAGCTTTATTTTGAAAAAGAAACTTTTGTGAATATGTAATAAATGTTGAAGTTAGTTATCATAAATCATATATATTTTGGAAAATTTGTACAAGTTTCTTTCTCAAAATAAGCTCATAAACTGCAATTTAATTGTCCATATTATTTATGATAACTAAATGGACTTCACAGAGTCTTTCTTCAGCATTTTTTGTAATTTTTATTGCACATATATATACACGCATTTTTTATTTTTGAAATGCAACATGCTGCTGAAACAATGAAAGGAAACAGAAGTACTAAAAAGTGCCCAAATCCGTTCGTGTCACTGAGGGTTGGTACACATAACCTCATCTGCTCCAACCGCCATTTTACTGTGATCCAAGATGCTCCTTGGTGTATATAAGAGCATGCGATGCGAACAAACCTTGTGTTTACGTGTAGTTTGATTATGAGACTGTGGACAAAAAAAAGAAATGCCTTGCTGCGTTGCGATCAATTGTGCCAATAGAACAGAAAAAGGCGTTCGATTATTTTTGTTTCCTGCGGATGATGTTCGACGACAGCAATGGATATATAATCTCTGCAGAGAGTCTTGGACACCAACCAAATATTCGCGCCTCTGTGAAGTAAGTTTATTGTCTTAAATTTCCAATTTACGTAGCTTTTTCTGTTTGTTTAGAATCATGGATCGTTTTTTTAAGTGTAGTTTAGATTTGTCACCGTTTGAAATTACATAAATATGAATAACTGTAATCAATAAGGACATTTATCTTATAAGCAGTTTTTTTATTTCAGGAACATTTTGAAGAATCACAGTTTGAGACGAATCGAGCAGATAATTGGCGAAAATTAAAACCAAACGCCATACCAACACTTTTTGATATACCTGATCCACTTGCAATAAAGAAAAATGAAACAAATGAACCAAATACAAGTGCCACTGCTGAGAAAGACGTAAATTTTTTCATTAATTTTATGTTTATATTTAATCTACTGATAATATAAATTCATAGTATAAACGTGTTTAATTCATTTCAGAACTGTAGAGATCAAGAAAATGTTGATGAGTCAATTACAGAAAGCAGCATTTTGCCGATATTGGCAGAAAATCAGTCTCTGAAGCAGCAGTTGGAGAGAATACACAAAATAATAAAATGCTTTGCTCATCATCCAGCAGTTGCTGCATACCTACAGAAATATAATGTTAAATAATATAATCGGTATTGATATACAATCTTTTTAATGCTGTGTGCAATTGTATTAATTTTATATTTATGACATTTGGAACAATCCAGTGTTTCTATAGCATTTTTTTCTGATGGATTGTAAAAATTGTAAATATTATTTTCTCTAAATAAAAGACATGTGTTAACTATGATCAGAATTTGTTGGGAGAATTATCAAGAATTTGTTAGAAGATTATACATTTCTTTATTTATCTATTACCTATGTACTATGTTTTTAACATTTTAATTTTTTAACATTTGTTACATCTTAATTTTAATAAACATTTTAATAAACTTTTAAGCTTTTGATCGTTTCAAACTCACAGTTCCATAAATATTTTTCTGGTCTATTGGTACAATTGACCGCAACGCAGCAAGGCATTTTGTATCTTTTTTTGTCCACAGTCTCATAATCAAAATACACGTAAACACAAAACAGCTTAGAAGCCATAACCTAATCACCAAAAACTTCTTAGCTCAGCGGTAAAGGAGCGAGAGGGCAAGGAGTGGGGGAATGGAGCGAAAATGACGCAGCGTGAGAATACCTACATCTTTAGGCTGTATCCCCATGGAGAAAGAAATAGCGGAACGGAACAGTGACGGAACAGTAGAAGAAAAGAGATATGATGAATATATCTCTTTTCAACTACTGTTCCGTTACTGTTCCGTTCCGCTATTTCTTTCTCCATGGGGATACAGCCTTAGTGCTCTTATAACCAAATATATTATGTTTGCGAGTCAATTAATTTCGCCGATTTCGCGATCGGTTCGAGGTAAATTTATGAATATTCGGAAAATGAGTGCAGCAATTAGCGCTGACTGCGTGAAATCTCTGCTATACAAGGAATACGGCGATCCTGCCGAGGTTCTCCACGTGACTACACAAACGGTCGAACAACCAGCGGACGATCAGGTGATTATTGCAAGGCAATTTTACTTTTGTTCACGAGTTTTTACATAATTAAGTTAATTTTTTATGACAAAGGTGTCTGTGAGATGGCTGCTATCCCCGGTTAACCCGGCTGACATAAACACGATACAAGGTAAATATCCTAGCAAACCCTCGTTACCAGCAGTACCTGGAAATGAAGGGGTCGGAGAAATAGTAGCAGTTGGTTCCAACGTTCAGAATTTGCATGTCGGAGATAGAGTGGTGCCAAATGGCCCTAATTTTGGAATTTGGAGGACACAAGCTAATTATGATTCTAAAGATGTCATGAAGGTAACTATATTGTCACATTGTCATCTTCTAATAAATTATTATTGCACGTGTTATTCTTCAATCTGATTTTACAGATCTCCAGTGACATCAGCCTGGTTGAAGCAAGTATGATGAACGTAAACCCGTGCACAGCTTACAGAATGCTGAGAGATTTTGTTTCTTTAAAACCAGGAGATACTGTGATACAGAATGGTGCTAATTCTGCGGTTGGTCAGTTGGTTATTCAGTTGTGCAAAGAGTGGAATTACAAGTCTGTCAATGTTGTTAGAGATAGACCGAATATACAGGAATTAAAGGTACAATGTTAATTTTAATATTGTTATAATATTATGTAAACTGCACACTGGCTGTCTATATAATATTACAAATTATTTAGGACCAACTGGCATGCTTAGGTGCAGATGAAGTGCTGATCGAAAAGGAGGTTCCAAATACGCAGCTCTTTAAAAGTAAAAAATTACTTGCACCCAAATTAGCACTCAATTGCATCGGCGGGCAGAGCGCAGTTGAAGTAACAAGACACCTTGCACATGGTGGTATTTTGGTGACTTATGGTGCTATGTCTAGAGAACCATTGACTGTACCAACGGCAGCACTTATTTTTAAGGTAATTATGCTCTACTTGAAAATTACAAAAAAAAGACACATAAACATAATTTGTATTATATATACTTGCAGGACATATCGTTTAAAGGATTCTGGATGACAGCTTGGACGAATGCAAATAAGGAATCCCAAGAAAGAATAGATATGTTTGAAGATTTAGCGAATCTTTTTAAGAATAAGAAATTGCAGTCGCCGCCGCATAAATTAGTGCCTTTTAGCGAGTACAAAGAAGCTATCAGTAAGGCTCTTAGTTTCGATGGTCGCACAGGAGTAAAGTACATTTTAGACTTAAGGAAATCTTAAGATCTTTTTATATACGTATGTATACAATATTTTTTTCTATTTTTGAAAAATTCCTGTCGGTGCATTTGATAGCGTTTATAATTGAAATTCTGTATTATATGCGTTCTTTTTGTGTAATTTAGATAAAACTACTGAAGTAATGCAGGTTTTGTAAAGTAGAATAGTCTTTTATATGGAAATATATTTATTTCCATTGAGAATTGAGACAAATCGGTGTATAAATATGCAGGAAAAATATGCAGAAAATATATAGAAAAGATATGCAGAAAATATATAGAAAAAATATGCAGAAAAAATATAGGAAAAATATTTAAAATGCATTACAGTGGAAATTTTAAATTATTCGATTTCATCGAGAAGATCAAGTAGATCCATGCTGCGTTTCAATTCCTCGTGTTCGTCTTCAAAGAAGTCTGCGTATACGTTATCGAGTTTGGTTTTATAGTCCTCATTCACTTTCGGCTTCTCGCCTCCCGCATTTCGTTTAACACTGTTCCCGTCAGCGTCGAGTTCTTTCTTTGCATTATTTACATTCTCTTCGTCCATGTTTGACAGTAAATTTAGCGTGAACGGCCTCTCACAAGTTTCCTCAGTTCCCAGCTGAACGGCCAGCATACCGAGTTCCGCTTTTGCACCGCAGTCTCTTAAAAACTGTTGGCTGTCTCGTCTTGTATTTTCCGTAATGCCGTACGTCGGCAAATATCTATAAATTACGAAACGAGTTATTCAGACGCTTGTTTCCGCATTATTTTCAGCGCTGTGCGTAATCTTTGCCTTACATGTTTTTGCCCAGCAATGTTTTCCTATCGCCGTACATGTCGAAGGATCCGCCGCAGCAGGTTTCAGGACTCACGTCTTTCATCTTCATGGTGGCCAGAGTGTTTCTGTGCTCCGTGTACCTTTCGTCGTACCTCTGAGGTATAATGTTGAAGCTGGCATCCTCGTTTTGCAGACCGCGCCGTAGGAGGATTGACACTCGCACACTGTACGACTCCAGTTCTTTCAGACAGCATTGCCGCGCGCTCCAGACCTCCTCGAAGGTCAAGCAGCCATAAAACTGCGCATTAAAAGAAGGATATTCTTCGCCGAATGGGACACCGTTAAACTGACAGGCATCGTACTCACGTCAATGATTATTTGATGCACCAGACTGACGCACTTTTGCGCGTTTACATCGCTGACCATATCGCGCATCGCGTCTATGTGATTCATGGTGATGAGAATGATCTCCCTGGGCCCAGTGGCAGCTGTTAGCTGATATTTCACCATCATGGTCATCAAGTCGAACAGCTTGTCCATGCTGCTCTTATCTAGCTTCATGATAGACGAGAGAGCGACGCTTTCTAAAGTGGTGCGTAATTGCGAAATTCCGAGCATCGGCGACTTTTCGAACATTGGCGATATTGTCTTGGGGTTGAGCAAAGCGGCGGTCACTTCGTCCAATACTGCAATTAATCCGTATTAAATTAATCGCCAAATGGCACTGTTAAAAGTATTATGTATGCTTAAAAATAGCATTGTTAAAAAAATTCATTTATATTTATAAATTTTTCTTGTTTAATATTCTTTCTCTATTATATGTTATTAATAGTTTTTGTATATAAAAAAATTAATTATTAATCAGAGTTAATATTACGATGTTTCCAAGAATTTATGTGTATTTTAAATAAATATTTTTATAATAATAATAATTTGTGATCATTATCGTTAAATAATAACGTAAATGTAAATTCTGAAATTTTGCAAGGTTGCAATCTTGCATATATAAAAATAAAAAAAAATGTTACAACTATATATAAAAGTTTATTATAAAATTATCAATATAATTATAAATTATACTAATTATACAAAAATGTGAATGAGATGTTTATAAAATATTTTTGAATATTTTTGTGCGTCTCGCCTTGTATTGTTTTGTTGATGTCAATCTTTTGCGCCTTCAGCCTCTGTCGCAAAACGTACAGCATTTCGCCGCCCATGTTTAAATATAAGATGGGTGTTGAGTGCAAGGACATTTTTGCGTGAATGAACCTTGCTTGACGATATTGTTTTCAACAATGCATGCATTACACAAGTACGCATATACTTTTCTACAGCGAAGAAGTCAATGCGTCGTCTTGACGACGTAAACGTACATAATACTTTTAATTATTGCGATCGGTACCGAGACTGCGCGAGGAAACTTATAGTTTCGCAAACATTTTCCTTATTCTGAAGCGTTTACAAAACGTTAAAGACTGCTAATTTTATGAAACTTTGCGAAACTTGAAAAGTTTGCTAGACTGCATATAATACGTTTTCTCGGTAAATATTTTAGATAAATATACAGGAACGAACGACATGTTTAAATTTGCTGTTTTTACAAATGTAGACTGCGTTCCGAAATTCACTGCCAGTACTGAAAATCTACAATATACGTTACGTAAACTGCAGATTTTCAGTACTGGCAGTGAATTTCGGAACGCAGCCGTAATTATAAAATGCATTTAAGAAGTATTTTCATTGGTATTCATTATCCACGGCCATGGACGCCTTATTGTGTCCAGAGCTATTGCCATCTAGCAGTAAGGTGTTAAATTTTTTGAAGCCTATTGATTATGAACTGTAATTAAAACAAATAATTAATTAATTAATTAATAATTCAGAAATCTTAAATTATTGTTTACAGAACTGTTTAGTTTTAACAAAATTTGTTGCGATTATTGCGCTGAAATCGAGATTGTAGTTTGATTCAGTAATAGAACTCAAGTCAGACAACTTTTTTTAAATTGCACATCTCTGATCGAGAAAGCTCTTTCCACCCTTTTTTTAGTGTGACTTGGTAATGGCTCGAATAAATTATTTTTTATTAATTTTTGATTAGAAAAATGTAAGTAATAAGATTGTGTAACTAGTAGACGAATGGACCAATCGCAGGAATCATCTCAATAATGCTTGATCGTCAGCTGTGTTTCAGGTGCTCAATGCCGAGCGTTTTGCGCAGCACACAACCCTTCGATTGTTGACGTGGAAATCCCGGAAATGGCATTACTGGTTTTGTGTAGTCCTGTGTGCAAAAGAGAAAATAGAAATTGAAGAAGAAAAAGCAGTTTTTGGTGATTCAGTGGATGAATCTTGTACGTTAGATTATGCTTGTAAAACAGATATTGTCACATGAAAGATATCGTTTTCAGATATATTGCCTGGTTTTAACAAATGCCTATTCGATCGGCCATTTGAGAATAGTTCGTTTTTGTTTACGAATACCGGCAATCCGGTATTGTTAAAACATGACAAATAATTTATATGCACAAATTATAGTAAGAAAATACTAGTAAGAAAATAAATAAGAATGTAAATATCTGTTTATAATGCAAATTTTGTTATTTTAATCGTTTTCCAATATCTGAAACAATAATTTGCACCGTAGAAAATACATATACGTTATTTATTTTTTATGCTAAAATTAAGTTTTTTTCTAGATTTTATCACAAGTATTGAAACAGTATATTGAAAGAAGCAAGAATCAAAATGGATAAAATAATGGAGCTCCTAGATGCTAAATTGCGCACGACAGGCAAGCATCGTGAACTCACAGATAAGTATAAAAAACTTAAGACTGATGAGGAACGTGTAATATTCTCTTTCAACATTATGTTGGAGTATGATATAGTTCCTAACGTAACTGGTATGCCAAAAAATGCCAAAGAATCAGAGAAATTGAGAGAGGAAGGTAATAAAGTTTTTGTCAAAGCTGCTTTAAATAACATGGCATGCATTAAGGCACTGAAGTTATATACGAAGAGCATAGCTTTCGCACCTTATCCATCCAAGCAACTTGCTCTGGCTTATGCCAATAGATCAGCAGTTTTGTTTCAATTAGGGTTGCATTCAGAATGTATTCAGGATATCGATCGAGCACTAATTCTAGATTATCCCGATGACTTAAGAGCCAAGCTTTATGTACGCAAAACAGAATGTTCAATGATCCTGGGAAATTGTTCCACAGAAGACATTCTTAAAGAAGCACAGTATTGGCTGGACAAGATGTCCCTAAATGATACAAGTCGAAAAAAATTACGAGCAAAACTTGACACTTTACATCATAAGACTGCACAGACAGAATTGCCTGCTCAAGATGCCTCTAAACAGACACAAACGAAGAAATCAAACAACGAACTTTCTCTACCTACTGTTCCATCACAAAATGACGAAATTCTTTGCGCATCAGATGCAGTGGCCATACAATACAACAAACGCCATGGCAGACATGTTGTTGCTACTCGGCACATTCATCCGAACGAGGTAATCGCAGTAGAAAAGCCTTACTCGCTAATGCTGACACAAGAGAATATGCAGACACACTGCTCAAACTGCTTGAGAGTATGTTGGGCGAATATACCCTGTAATTATTGCACTTACGCTATGTACTGTTCGGAAGAATGCAGATATACTGAATGGAAACAATGCCACGATGTGGAATGCGCTGTCTTCCCCACTATGATCGAATATGCCTGTTATAACATCGATTTGTTTAGCATAAGGCTTGCTATTCTTGCTGTAAGAGAGGCTGGTGATATACAGAAATTAAGGACTATGCTGAAAGAAGTTGACGAATGTGATGGTATTTTAAGATTTACATTATTAAATATAACATATTAAAATTTATATAAACTTTTTTTAATAACAGCACTCATATAATATTGTTATAGATCCACGGACAAAGGGTTTTTTCAAAGATGGAAAATTGCACAGCGATAAGTACATAAGTATATACAGTCTTGTGACGAATACCGAAAAGAGACCAGTCTCCGATCTTTTCAGAAGATCTTTGGATACTTCCTTCATGTTGTACATTTTGGCAACGCGCACTGCTTTGTTCGGCACTACTTTACCCGACGATATAAAGATATTGGCGAAAAATGAGGACGTTACATTTTTTGGCAGTCTCATTATGAGACACCAGCAGATAATTCCCAGCAATGCTCACTCTGTACGATATCAAAAGTATTCTAATCGTGTATTTCTGTGTCTTACATTCACTTCGGGAATTTTACTTTGTCAGTTTGTTAATTAAATCTAATGTTTGCAGCTCCACGAGGAACAAGGTATAGAATCTGTAAGACGTGGCATGGCTGCTATGTCATTCTTTAGCTTGTTTAATCACAGTTGCAATCCAAATATATTGAGACGTTCGATGCCGAAGCATATGGTGATGCATGCTTTGTATCCCATTCGAAAAGGCGAGCAGGTATGAAATTGTAAAATTCTAAATGGAATTATTATAGCACGGTTATGTCAAAATTGTTTTATTGATTTTATTTACAGCTCTTAGATAGTTATGGCGAACATTATGCTATTATGCCGAAAATGGCGAGGCAACAGAAGCTACTCAAACAGTATCATTTCATCTGTGATTGCATATCTTGCCAGGAAGACTGGCCCTTGTATCATGAACTAGAGTCGTTCAAGGTAAAGCTTTTTAATTAATATAATCAAATGGTTACACTTTGATAATGACGATCTAACGTTTCATTCATTTCCGGCAGACTTTAGTGGAGAAAAACGCGGATAAGGCTAAGATAAAAAAGGCATTGCGCAAATTTAATATGTATGTAGACCTAGCGACTGAAGGTAATGTGCAAGGTAAGTTTTATATCATTGAAGATTTGGTAAAGATGGTGCAAACATTGTACGATTGCGCGCCGATGCCTTGCGAAGAGATGAACAATGTTGTTGAAACATTAAAACGAGTATATGGCTTGAATGGGAATAGATTCGAGATACCAAAAATATGGACATATAAAAAGTGAAATGTCCTTTCTATACTTTTGATGTAACAATGTTGTTGTTTTTATATATAAGAAGTATATTTTATAAGGATTCTTAAGAAAGAGATTAATATTTTTATTTTTAAATATGCGATAGAGTTTTTGGAGATAAAGAAATAGTTTTTTGAAGAGATATATAAACATTTATATAAAGAAAATATTGCATTTGTTAATATATATTTGTTACATATTTAACATTGTAATGTTTTTAAAAGTTTAAAATTAAAGTCAACGATAGACAATATTATATGTTAAGTTTTGTACTTTCTATTTCTTCTACCGTCTTATTGTACAACGGAAAAGAAGAAATATAAAATAATATAAACCACAGATAATATCGAGATGAGAGAATTATAAAAATAATATATTTGTTAAATGATTCTAAAATACCTCTGTGACAAGATTCACAAGGGTATTTTAGTTCTTGTGCTTAATTGTAACATTTGTTATTGTTGAGGCATCTAAATTGAGAGTATTTTAGTTAGACAACCAAAACAGCAAAGTAGTGATAATTGGCAAAAGAATCGTTGTGCCAGCTGGACGGTAAATCGTTCCGAGATTTGGCTCTTTATAGTAGTCATCGTTATTTGTTGTATATGTAATTCTCCACTCCAAACCTGGATGTATCGGACTGTGTTTCTCGAAATACTGTTGCAATATATCTGCCGACGTGATACCTGTCAAATTTCAATATTGTAATCCATATTTGTTCAATGAAGATTAATCGTGAAAGTCAATATTAATGATGCTACATATAAAATAAATGAAAAAAAGTAATGGTTTCTTTGTTCATTCGTAGTTCCCAGAAAAAAAGTGGGATGCACCATCATGAATATTTTAAAGTTTACAGTACCGAGGGTTGTTGTTTCGAGGCCCTCCAGCATATGGAAACCATCTCCACCCTTTGCGAGAAAATCGTTTATGAAGACATTGTAGGTAGCGTTTCTCTGAAGCTCACTGTACATCGGCACTCGACAAGCAGCGCATTGAACTTGAACGGAAACTACTCTTGAGTTTCGTGGTTGATTTACATTATAGACCACCTGTAAATAACACAATCTTATTTTTGACAGAATAATACGCGAAGGGGAGAATAGGCTCCGTCGGCTAGAAAGGAATAATAAAAAATTACGAAGAATTACGAAGCTGTAAAAGATTTAACGTAGATTTTTTTTTAGCCGAATAAACAGAATTATTTATCAAACGAATTACCTGCAATCCCGAGTACTGTAGAAAAGCACCGTGCAGGTTCCCGGTGGAAGTTGTGTCGTTGAGATTATAAACGCTCCACTCTAACATCGAGAGAATCTGTTCTCCCGTCATGGAAACTTTGAGAATGATGTTCTCGAACGGGAAGACGCTTATGATATCAGCTCGATTGACCTGTTATATAAAGAATCAACGTTATCATAATACATTAAGCGTATTAGTAATTGAAGATCGAAAGGAAGACTGCGTATTAATTACTTCGTCGTTCCTCGCTCGAGTGATCGACGATCTGATGCTGCCGCTGTTCTGGATCGCGATGGCAGTGTCCGTCCAGCCGTTAACGTCCAAATATTCCCCGGCATACTGCAGACAGAATCTCGTTAAATTCTTTTCAATGATTGTCAATGGAATTATTAATTTCTCAATTATCAATCGAAAATCTTACGTAATCGAGTATAGCGTCGCAGATCAAATTTCCCATGTTGCATTCTTTCCGTCTGCAATTCTTGCTGTCTCCGTCGATGAGGACCCGCGTCTTGCCGATCGCCATGCGTTCCAAATCGTCGATAGGTCCTCTCATTTCGGCTATCTTCTTCAGAACGTCTTCCGCCTTTGAGGATAATAACGAACGTTTAGCTGCTTGTTAAAAAGTGCGCGTTCATCATTGTTTCACGCTTTAAAACAAAAATCACCTCTTTCACGCTGGAGTCGACGAGAATCGGGTTGCCCTGGATATACGTTATTTCTCCCTGAACGTCGAAGCTCACGGAGAAATTGCCCAGGTACTTCGTGTACGCGTAAGCTTGAACGACGTACACCTTCCTGCCGTCGTCCTGCAAAACCTCCGTGGGGTAGAAACCCTCCGGCACCTCGACGTCCGGCGGCATGCCGCGGTACAGGAAGGTGTTCGTGTGCCCGCCGATCACCAGGTCGATGTCTTTGACCTCCCTGGCGATCTTTTTATCGGTGTCGAAACCCGAGTGACCCAGCGCGATAAGAATGTCGACGCCTTGACTCTTGAGTTTCTTGACTTCCTCTCTGATGGACTCCACCTCGTCCTTGAAGATCACGTTGTTGGTGGTCGATAGAATCTTCGTCTCCGGCGTCAGGTAGCCGATCACGCCGATCTTCCTGCCGTTCACCTCGAGAATCGTGCTGTTCTTCAGCTTCGTGGCGGCCAGATCCGGCTGCCGGCTGAGGTCCAGATTCGCCGTCACGATGGGATACGAAGCGTTTTGTATGAAGGGTATCAAACCGTCGACGCCGTCGTCGAACTCGTGGTTGCCCAAACTCTGTCGGAATTGCAGCGTGTGAGAGAATTGTCCGATTTCATTTCAATATCGTTAAGATAAAGTTATTTATTCTACTACATATTTAAAAAAAGAATTTTGCTATTGCTGCGAAATTGTCGCCGTAAATTTTAATCGCAAAATATAAATTAATTTGTCATAACAGCGACACAATTTGTGCAGATTTAGCAAGATTATTTTCAGCAAATTGATATGTTTTTTACGAAACTCGCCAAAATTTATCTATTCCGCCAAGAAAACATGTTTTGCCGAGTAATGCGAATAATGAATTATGATAGTGAAATTTTGCTGTAACATGCAACAACGATTTCGCTGCAATAGTAAAACTTTTTTTCCTTTCGAAAGTTTGCCGTGCGAGATTGAAAATATTTTGTTGTAATGATAAGTCAATTAGCACTGTTTTTCTTGAACTTTCACAAATATTTCGCACATCTGCCTGATTGAGAGCAGTTAACACTTACTATAACGTCTGGCTCTAAGAGATTCAAGAAGATAGACACTGCCTTCCATTTATAAAGGTTGTACCACGCGGTCCCTTGGTAAGTATCACCGGCGTTTAGGAAAATTGTCGCAGGCGTTTCTGACTTCGCTTGACGGATCAGGGTCGCGATTCTGGCGAAGCCTCCGTAACACTTCCCGGCTTGGGAGTCCTGCGGCGTGCACGTAGTCGACAGTCTCGACGTCTGTTCAAATCTAAAAAAAAACATTCGTTTCGCAATGAACATTTAATTTGAGGCGGATACGGGATGACTCTGAGTTACATAAATTGCGACATTAGAAGAGCATAGAAATTATATGCACGAAGAAACACATGCGTAGTGTTTAATTAACACCTGGGCGTGGAATAATTAACTATCTTGGCATTCGTGATTAGTGTGGTGATGGTAATTGTTGTCCGAGTGACGTAAAATTAAATTGTAATGCTACTCATGCAAAAAAAGCAAACATTACTTAAATAACAGCTGGACTGATATGTACGAGTAATTTTTTCGACGGTCTCTCGCGTTTGCATGATTGATTTAGAAGAAAGACAATATTTTGAATATATTTCTATAATAATAAATGTGAAATTACCTTGCATGCATGTCATTCGTGTGAACGATTCTAATGGTGAATTCTTCATCCTTTCGTAAAATTGGACTCGCGAGAACCGCGCTCGCGAATATCAGTAGCGCAGTGATGCAATAGTTTATGAGCAAAGAAGTCGACATCTTTAATTGCCGCTAGTTCCAAGTAATATGACTCCGTTGAACCTTTTGTAGATTTTTCTGTTACTTATCTTCCTTTTGTTTTCAGAATTATGATAGTGATAAGATTTCTTGCAGCAGCAGATCACATTATAATATTATCTTCTTTCACAATTGTTGAACATTGCATTTTGCGATTCAATGTCTAGAAACACATAAAATGTTTGAAATTTTATTTCGCTTGTCGCAATACAATATGGTTTACAGTCGACGATTTATTCGATTTTTATTTCAAATATTTTACTTGTTTAATTTTTGCTTTTAAAACGATTGTGTTTATTAACTGCGTGACTGGTTAAAGCAGAAGGATGCAACAAACTGAAGAAATAGAAATAAATTTCTATTTATTCGTACAATGACATTTGCGGAATAGAAGAACCGAAATACATTCGCTATTATTTTGATTTATTGCGAAACGCATTGGGACTTGCCAACTATTACGACGACAAGAATGGATTCAATTTCATAGTTGGCGTTGTGCCTGACTAATTTGTAAAAAGGGACGACACTGAATACGATTTTCTCTTTTCGGATTCAACGTGACAAAACACGTTTCTTTATTTGGAAGTGTACTTGGAAAACATTTTTAGCCTTCGCTCTAAATTCCTAACTTATAATTTTTATCAGTTCCCGATAAGGAAAACGAAAGTAACGCATCAAATTTACGCGCGCCAACGACTGTCACTTACCTACCGTTAAATAACTGAAGGGCCGTTAAATAATGATGCAATTACAAGCGTATAAACCGATCTTTCGCGTTATCGTACCGGTGATGGGTTTAAGCGAGCAACGAGAGACGCGAGCCGATTTTGTCGAGCGACCGGCATCAACTGATTAGCGTCGTCCGACTGCCGACGTGCGGCTACCACTAAACTTCCTTCCAATCTCTGCTGGGGTGCTTAAATCACGCAGCATCCGTTATCTGCCGGGGCTGCTTCTTCTCGGAAGATTGAGAAACGTCGTCTTCTCCATTTAAAACTTTATTATTTTTTGTGTGTTTCCTTACATGTTCCTTTATATGTGCTTTACATGTTTTATTTTTTTTTTGTGAAATAATTTGCGTGAATTTTTTTAAATGATCAATATCAGGAAACTGAAGAATTGAAAAACAGATTTTAATTCGATGAACAATGCTTTTGTTCTATTAATAACAATTTATTTCAACATTATCAAAGATTAATCGATTTTATTATCGTGTGCGGTGCAATTTATAAAAACGCAATTTAATTGCGCAAGAATCGTAATTCCGCGACACATTTTTCTAACTCAAGATACTGAGATTAATAGACTTGTGACAAAACAGATTAAGAGAAGAAAAAAGCAAACAAGGTAAAGCGTAGATTGGAAATATTTCGTCTAAAATTGTTTTCAGAGAAATATTAATTTATTCAAAAAACATCTTGCGCTGCTCACAAAATTAGATCTTACCATGTCTAATATCGATATCAAACTAACTTCATTTTGAAATTTAAAGATGATAATGTTATGCGTGTTTTTGATAGATATTCTAAAAAAATAAAGCGATAAAAGAAACATGTATATAAAACGTTTTTTTTTCAGATATCTTAAACAGCAATCTCCTAAAAATTATTTTACTCTGTTATCACGTTATTATCGCGATCGTCTTTAATTATTAATTTACTTTGCGATATAATTATCAATTTTGAAATAATTTTTAATGTTTTCGATAACCCTGATGGAAATATTTTTCTGAAAATATAACGAAATTTTGCTGAAATGTATTTGAAAATTTTTCTCAATTGACCCCATTAATTAATTTCATAAATATTTCAGCAATTTTTTATTAAAAAGTAACAGTTTTCAGTTTAATTCAGTAAATTTTATAATGATAATTATTTTAAAACTTTTATTACTTTTCAGCAGTATATTTTAACTTTCCTTATATTTCATAGTATTACATTAAATTTTCATACGGAAAATTATGATTTATTTTGAAATATATTCAGTAATTTTTTAAAAACTTTCATTTTATTTTTCATTGATTTCATAGTACTTTCAGCAAAATATTTCCATGAGGGAAGAAGGCTTTAACTATCCTTTTTTTGCTTTGACGCTTTTCAGATTCGACTCGTCACTTCGTCTTTTGTTAGAAATTAATCAACGCGACATATTGTTAATGATTGATCACAATGATTTATGATTTATGAGCTTTATGGGTCGTTCGCTTGCGCGTGGATAAAAATTTAATAATGTATCCTTGACAATTGGGTGACGAAATTCTCCAATATGCCTTTTTCGATTACACAATTGGTACCAGCTGTAAGTCGCTCATTGACACCGTCGTTAGAATATAAAATGAATATAGAATTATCTTTCTGTCAAAGAGCCAGAATTCTCGGAGTCGTTCAGTAATTTTCTTGGCACTCTTATCCTTCCCACTCGTTCGCGTTACGTGCCTATCCGCAAAAAAATAAATAAATTGCACGTGTCATAAATTATCGTGATGCGTAGAGATCTTACTGGCAGACCTCAAGTTGTTTTCGTTGCGCATCACGTTCGTAACAGAAAGCAGTTCTAATTTTGTTTACGCTTAAACGTATCACGCAAACGCGAATAAGTCATATATCTTTTTGTCAGATATACGTAAATCCTAGTGCGATATGTCTCCGCGATATCTTATTGTCGATATCTCTTGATACGGAAATAACATTGATTGTGCGCTAATTAATTCGATTGTATTTCAAGTTTCTTTTTCCGTAAATTGTAGGAAAAACACTTTATGAAAAGTCTTGTCAGTGTACATGAGTTTTTTTTAACTGTGCATATATTTGTATAGATAAGTAGACTAACGGCGACATGTCGGTTTTTTAAACCGATTTGCTTAACAAATTTAGATTTTTATAAAATACTTATATAAGATTTTTATAACATATAGATTTTTGTACAAATTTTGTTATCAGCAATTTGCATGATTTTTACATTTCTGGTTTTTTTATAGTTGTTATAAATCTATTTGTTATAAATTACAATAAAGTTATTTTAGATTTCTTAGAATGAATAATTATATCTTACTTTATGATTTTTTAATTTACATTTTAATTTAATTTCTGATATATAACAAATAATTATATTATTTGTGATTTTGAAGACAACGTATTTGTCAATTGTGTCATAATTAAACCAATCATCATTTAATCAAAACTATTAACGTGAAAAATCATATTGTATGAAAATCATGAGCACGATATGACAAACGTGTACCAAATAAAAAATTATATAATGTTTAAAGATAACTGACACAATACTAACGTTGCTTTATGTACAATATTTTACAATAGTAGATAAAGTTAATCTTATCGCAATGTTCTTTTATTTTGCATGTAGCTCTTATTAAACTTACTGTAAGCGTATTTTACTATTTCCTCTTTGTATAGCTAGTCAAAAACACGTATGTAATTGTAAATATTTTAAATAAATAGAAAATTAGAAAACAATAAAAATATATTTTGTAAACAATATTGTATCTATATCGACATAAATAATATTTAAATAAAAGATTTGTTTTAATAATTTACAAAGATCGATTTATATATTTTTATGATTACTTTGTTTAGAATTTTTGCATGTTACAATTCCAATAAATTTTACTTATAAAAATTTGAAATCGAGTCTTGTGACGTGGCAAGTAATTAAACAGATAAAAATTATTTTACAATGTTAATTAATTTATGTGGAAAAAAGAATATTTTCTTATACGAGTTATATGATATTGGAAGATACGCGCTTCGCGCTTCGCGGATATCACAATAGGCCACTAAGGCCACTACAGGTATATTTTGTAATCATATGTGAAGTAGGGGATTCGATAATCAACATTCTTTCACGGAAGAAGCAAAGACACGCGATAGTTTAAGTGGCAGTCTACTACAAATATTTGATACACGAGCTATAAGAAGGTGAGATATCATTAAAGATAATTCTTTGTTCGTTATGTGACGCGAAGTGTATCATAACTTCTACTTACATATCGTTATTCGTTAGCTTCGTAATTTCCAATTATTCGTGAAAAGAACACTAGTTTCACATCACCGAAGACAATTATTTTCTTCAAGATAATTGTTTGATGAGACGACATCGGCAATTGTTGGCAGATTATTTATCTCAAAGCACACTGCGCCACGTACGTTTCACACTCTCAATATTTGCATTAGTAGATCGATTCGCGTTTTCCATGTGGCGCAATTATTTTATCTTTGGCGACTGGCTTGCGAACTCGTAACACCTGTTTCACGTACCTGCTCGTGTAGTAATTTGTGAGAGTGGAAGCGCAAGAAGTTGGTATGCGCACTCGGACTTGTTAAGCGGTCATTCTTTACATTCGCGTGGTATTGGTCGCGCAATTTTTTGTATGAGCGAGCGAGCGAGCTTTTCAGCGAGCCTTTTTTCTTGCCACTTCAGATAACGAACAAAGAAAAGATTTGCAAAAATTATAAGAGACAATTCAATAGACAATTTCGAAAAGATACAACAGAATATATAGCAAAATAAAAAAGTTACACATTATTATGTATAAAATTTATCTTTTTTTTAAACATTTATTATAAAATATTAACTGCTAGCTGCCTTTAACTTAAAATATATTTAATTTTAACATTTTTTGTTTTATTATGTCATAAAATAAAAATTACAATTATATGTTCAGAACAAAACATATTAAAAAACACTTAAGTGTCGTCTTGAAAATCATTATGACTTAGCATCAAGATATTCTAGCGATCACTGAGATGCGCAGTTCTGTGAATTTTGCACGTTGCATAATCCTTCTTCTGTTATGTATTTTTTCTCTCACTAATTATTGTTCAACCAGCGCGACGACGGATTATTAAGAAATTACAATTACTATTTCCGCGTTGACAAAGAAGAGATGTAGATTACAACACGCTGCGATTTCAAGAAGAACAGAGTACTTTTGAGTCGCATTTTGTCTTATTCTGTAGTCTTGGCGTAGAGCTATCTTTGAAAACGTTATAAAAAAGCGTGTAAGAAAATATAGAATACCTCATTTTAATATTATTTCATCTGATCACATACCTGCAGCAAATTCACAAGAAAATATCTGCAAATACGTCGACTTAATGATCTCTTTTTCGACAGGTGCAACATGTACGCGCTACTGCTGCTCTCGTTGTCGCTTCCACTTTGTTGGGGATTCACTGGGCGTGGACTTTTTTATCCTGGCAGAACCGACCTGTTCGAACTGTCAATAATTCATCTAAATGATTTTCATGCTAGGTAAGTAATTCTATTTTTACTTATCAGTCGCGTTCAGATCGTGTAACATAATTAGACGCCATAAATAGACACCTGACACGAATAATCGAATTTGGTGAAAATTGCAGTTAAACGATTATTAATAAATTAATCGGCATTAAGATATGTTAATTCAAATGTAAATCCTTAATTTGAAAATTATTATTAATGCCGCGCGCGCACGATCAATGTTGAAATTAATTGTGATTCAGGACTTCTAGCGAATTCGCCGAGTCAAGGATATAAAGAATTATAATAATCCTCAAGTGGTCTTGACCTCCTTTCTTTGCCCCTTTTCTGATTTTTGTGCTCCTTTTATAATCGTATTGTTCGTCGGAGCGTCAAAGCGTGACTTTGAAGAAAACAGAAATTATGTCGAAATAGGTTCGAGCAGACTAACCCGACTTCTGGGACCTGTCATGAGGGTCAAGAGAAGGATTGCGTGGGCGGGTTTGCCAGAGTTTACACGGCAGTCAATCAGCTCGTTGAGGAACGACCGAATGCGATTTTCCTGAATGCCGGCGACCATTTTCAAGGGACTCTCTGGTACAATATCCATCGCTGGAACGTCACCGCTCTGTTCATGAATATGTTGCCACACGATGTAATGGTAATTATATTTTAATTTCATCTACCAACATTATATTAAATAATAAATAAAAAAGTATAAATAAAATAATAGCCAAGTAAGTTTTTGTATCACAAGAAAAAAAAATTAATAATTAATTTCAATACTTTTTCTTAGGTTTAATTGTCTTAGATTTTTGATATTAATATTTCATGATATTTTTACAGACGATTGGAAACCACGAGTTTGACAATAAAATCGAAGGCGTCGTCCCCTTCCTTAAAAATGTCAAAGCGCCGGTTGTAGTAACAAATATCGACGACAGTGAAGAGCCAACCATACAGGTTTGTAATCTCCTTGTATCGATCTGCAAGTTATTAATCCATTATTATTTTCTAGGGCTTGTATCAAAATAGTACGATTATCGAAAGAAACGGTACCAAAATCGGAGTCATTGGCGTTATTCTGTCGACCACAAATGTAAGTGAGCGATTGCATTCTTCTCATGCGCAATTAAAACTATATATTTTATTTTATTATATTAAAACTATATATTTTATTTTATTTTATTTGATCAAACTTTTCCAGCTAATCGCAAGTACGGAAAAATTGAAATTTCTGGACGAGGTGGAGACAGTAAACGACGAAGCTCAGCGATTGAAGGAAAAAGGAGTAGACATTATTATAGTTTTAAGTCATTGCGGCTTGGATGTGGACAGGATTATGGCTGCGAAGTGTCCTTTGATCGATGTAATCGTCGGTGGCCATTCGCACACGTTCCTTTACACAGGTGTGAAAGTAAAGTTTTTTTTTAAAATATAATATAATTAAATGTAAAATAAATTTATATTAAAAGTTTTTTATTAAAAAGGACACAAAATCTAATATATTTAAATTAATTAAAATAATATTGTAATAAAAGATAGAAAATTTTCATTAATATGACTCTATTAAAAGCGTTATTATCTCGCAGGACCGCCGCCTTTTATCGATGTACCAGAGGATGAATATCCTGTGGTCGTCACGCAGAGCGAGACGAATAGAACTGTCCTCATCGTTCAGGCAGCTGCTTTCACAAAGTATGCCATTCATACGCATGTGATTCATAAGAATATATCAAAAGTATCACTAAAGAAGGTCAATTTTTATCGGATGTCACGGGGTCATATCCGATTAATTTTCGCTGACTAATGGATAAATTTAAATTTATCCAAGAGTTTACGTTTAAAATTGAACATTATATATATATACGTAATAATCAATTTTTATCTGTTTCTTTTTATTAAAGATATTTAGGTAATTTGACGGTATGGTTTGATAATCAAGGCGAGGTCGTTGATTGGGATGGAAATCCGCTTCTTTTGGACCAGTCTATCGAGGAGAGTAAGTTTTTCAGGAATCAAATTTTTATCATTGTTGTCGAGATAATAAATAAAATAACTACATGATAAGTTTAGATGAAGAAGTCCTGGAGGCTCTGAAACCATGGAAAGAGGAGGTGGATGCGTCGGCACTGAGAAAGATTGGCAGCACGAGAGTCTTTCTCGATCGTAATTGCCGTTACCAAGAATGCAATATGGGAAACCTTATAACCGATGCCATGGTAGATGCGGTACGTAAGATATTTTTACAGCATCGATTGCCCGAGCTGAGCATCTCTGCTCTGCGGTATTTCAATTCCTAGAATTGAAATTGCAAAATGAATTAAGTTAGCAATTGCATTTGATTTTAGTTTGTCGACGCTGCCGAAAATAAAACTCACTGGACGTACGCAGCTGTCGCCTGCACAAATGCAGGAGGAATTCGCACTTCCATCGAGGAGTCCAATATCACCTTTGGTGATCTGATAGCGGTTCATCCTTTCGAGAACACTTGGGACACTGTCGAACTGACCGGAGAATCTATTAAAAAAGTCAGTTAGATTCCTTGTTATAATATAATTCTCTGAAGCTTTGTTAAGACTTGATTAAACAAAAATTCTGCTGTAAAATAGCGCAGTGAAATAGCCGTGTAGAACGACATGTTAAAGTAAACGTGCTTTGATCGTAGCCTCTCGTCGGCAACGCAGAGACCGAGCAACAAGTTTTCAAGCAGTGAATTTAATTTAATTCTCTCTCGTAGGTTCTGGAATTCAAAAGAATTTTAGCCTGGTCCGGGCTAAAAATTACTTACAAAGAGACCAATAAAACACGGACTGCGATCGACGTTAAAATCAGGTGAAGTTGTTTGCTATTAAGATTTCGATTCGCCTCGCGACAAAATTGGAGTACGAATAAAAATTCAATATCATCATATCACTTTAACTTATGTCACAGAAGGTTAATGGCAATTTTTATTTACATTTTTCTCGATGTATCGACAGGTGCCAGACTTGCGAGTATCCGGCCTTCGAAGGTTTGGTACATGATCGATGGTACAGAGTGGTGGTGCCTTCTTTCTTGATCACCGGTGGAGATGGCTATTATATTTTCAAAAACGAGAGTCGCAATCACAAAATCGGAAGCCTCGATATCGATCACTTAACGAAATACGTGGGGAGAATGAGTCCCATATTGACGGGAATCGACAGGCGAATAATTTTTGTAAAGTCATAGAAATCATTTTCAGATTGACTTTCGCGATGATAAAATTACATTTGAAGAGATTGAATTTACGAAGAAAACTCGTGAAGTAATTTTGATCATTAGATAAGAGTCTTATGTCGAAATGACGTCACAAGTGAAATTTAAAAAGTAATAACGTTTATGTGTAACATAAAAGTACAAATATTATCCTACAATATATGTGATATTTACATAAAACATTCTAATTATTCGTGTAGATTAAATAATTTTTCTACTTTTAAGTTATTGTGCTTTTCACATTGTTCTATTATATTCCTTTTTATCATTGAAAAGTAATTAAAAAATTTGATAAACAAAAAGCGAGACAGATTTACGCACGAAAAAAGGTTCGTGAAGGTCTCGCGTGATAGCCGTAAGAAAGCAGGAAACGCCGTCCGCTTATCTCGCGGTATCTCGAGATCGGGGCAGATGAAGCATTTAAATAATGTATCGAACAGGTGAAATAGCAGCTGTTCGTCCGTGTTCCTGCCCCCGACCAGAACGCGCGAACCGCTTTGTAGCATCGGCAAGGAACGCTCGTTTAACGGCGAAAGGAACAAAAACGAAGCACTTTGTACAGATTAAAATAAATTCAAAAAATTTTTTATCATGTGTGTTATATTTCACTATATACTTATAATATTTTTTAACGCCTTATTTATTGCGATATATACTTTTATTTTTTATAAAAAAATATCTTTTGCAGTTATGATATTATACGATATTGTCACTGTAATGCATATTATATTGTAATTTCTAATATTTATCAATTGTTGAAACTGAACTTCTCACACGAAACAGTATGTGTGTTTGCAACCTGTAACATTTTTTAAATTGCACATCCAAATTCGGAGTGTCACGTACATTACGATAAGCATTAAATGACGTGGATCAAGCGCGAGTCTCTCTGGCAATTAACGTTCATTATACCGCTTGCAGCAATGATAATACTTGCGTCGATCTGCATATCTCCGGCGATTTACATAACATGGAACGCGCTACGCGCGTAAATATGCCCTATCGGATTTCGGTGTTGTTGGTGAAGAGACTCAATGTAACCAGGAACAATGGCAAACCCTTTAATAAAATTTAAACAATTAAACATAAAATGGATGTTATCTTAACATAAAAATAGTAGTATTTGTAAAATTGAGAATATTATATATACTAGTGCTACATTAATACATTTAAAAATATAAATTAATTATTTTCTTCTTAATTACATTTACTCGTAAATAAAATGAGATAAAGTCAAATCTAAAGAAGGCGCACTTTGTAATGCGCGATTTTAAACCAATTGAATATTAGATGTGTTTTTACAGTCTTCTTCTGTTCTCTTTATGTACTTAAATGTGCAATGCATGTATTTGCAGAAAAGTAAAAGAAAAAAACAGGAAATGTAGCTGAAACAAGATTTATCTTCTTATCTCTCCTCGTTGGCCCACGAGTTTTTCTCGTTAGAGTAAGAACGCGTTAAAGAGTGTCGCCAGCCAATTGTGAAGACGTGTACCTTCGCCAACGGTCGTGATGCATATGCGTGATTCGCCGGATGTCTCGCGAGCATCGCGGTCGCGAAGCGTCGCGACGACAATGAGACGGCTGCGAGAGAGCGACGGCGAGACGTCTGGCGAGGAAGTCCTCGCGCGGCGAGCAACTGGGTGGCAGCTGCGAAGTCGAGCAAGCGAGAGGGTAGACGAGAAAAGAGGAAGAAAGAGGGAGATGCATGCCGGCGAAGATGAACGGAGTGCGTGAATGGGAGTTAGACGAAGAAATACGCCGTGTCGGCGAAGTACCAATCTAGTCGAAAAATTAACTTCAGCATCCGGCAGACTTTTCGACATTTACCGTTTACGTTTCATTTAATCGTACATAAAACACGCTGTGTTATTCGATTTTGTTATTGTATCACTTGAAATTAGAAAGTAGTCGAAAGTGAGACGAAAATATATGAAATAAAATAATACAGAATAACAAATGAGAAATATTTAAATAAGTGAATGATAGAAGATTGTTCATTTTTAATATAACTTTAAATAAATCAATCGATCCAGTCGTAATTTCTAAGTTTTCTGCGATATGCAAAGTATTAAATTTCCAACAATTACCCTAATATTCAACCCTGCATGTGCATTCGCTCGCTCATTGCGCACGAGTGCGACGGAATCCGCTGCAAGCCGATGTAGTATACCTCAAACATTAGCTAGACGGAGAGAGGGCGAGTAAGAGAGGACGCCATCGGAGGCGGCGGTCGACAGACAAAGAGAGAGAAAGGGAGAGAGGGAGAACATGCGCCGACGACTGTCATGGAGGCAGATCTGCCTTCTGGCAGGAGGGTCTCGACCTGCAGCACACTCAACGTTACCTGCCAGCGCGCGCGCACGGCGGCGGCTGGCCAGTGTCTCCGAAGTCGCGCACTTCGATGGATCGCGGAGCCGTAGCCGAGGAGTAGCGCGTGGCGAGAGAAGCGATTGCCGCACGCAAAAAAAGCTCGATACGAAGCCTCGGGAGCGAAGCGCGCATCACAGGTACACGAGCGAGCGAGAAAGAGAGATTCGCTGCGTCGCGCTCACAAGTGACAGTCGCGGGCTTTCGCGCAAAATTCGCGAGCGACGCGCGTATTCGCGATCAGCCATATTTCGCGACAACGACGACGATACGGTCGCGGGAAGAGGCGGAGAGCGGCCCCAGGAGAGCGACACGTCGCGATACGATCGATCCGTCAAAAGCTGTGCAGCAGCAGCAGCACGCAGCAGCAAGCCGAGCGGCGGCGAACGCGCGAGACCGCCCGTCCGCCCGTTGGCGATGGAAGAAATGTATTGCTCGTGACGTCATACGGAATTCCTCCTCGTTGCTGCTGCCGGAGCAGGCGGCCGCGAGCACTTGTCATCGTGCCTTCTTGTACTCGTGTGGCTGGTATTTTGCGGGATCTTTGCGCTTCCCCCGAGAGGGAGAGGGGATTAAAGGACCAAATTAGAGAGAGAGAGAGAGAGAGAGAGAGAGAGAGAGAG